ATTCGAAGATAGAAGAGGAAACACTTGACAAATTTGTCAAGTAAGTCTACATTCGAAGATAGAAGAGGAAAGACTGGACCTAACGTTACCAGAAAAGGAAAGACTGGACAAGTTTGTCAAGTAGTTCAATTTGAAGATAGAAGAAGAAAGACTGGACAAATTTGTCAAGTAAGTCTACATTCAAAGATAGAAGAGAAAAGACTCGACCTAACGTTACCAGAAAAGGAAAGACTGAACAAATTTGTCAAGTAACTCTTGGCATAGCAGTTTTAGAAGCATTTTTTTGGTGACAGTGGTTCACGTTCTTCTCTTTTTTTTTTCCCCCTTCGTAATCTGGAGGGAGACAAAGAATCGCGGAAAAGAAATATATACCCTAGTTCATAACATCATGACAACATTTGTCCGTGTTCCATGTTGGAAGTAAAATCAACATAGTTTGTGTTCAGAGTAAAGGGAGATAAATGTACCATTACACTAGTCCCATGAAAAGTGTTGACGCGAGTTGCGATTCTTGGCGTTTTAGTGACCACAGAAATCATATATGAAAAAAATGATAACAAGAAAACGTAGCAAGATGAAAAATGTTTTTATTTCAGTGCATGTGGAAGATAAAAACACCTGCTTGCAGTACAAAAACTAGTGACATGACCACTGAACCATCTCCTTTACCTGTCATGGCTGTTTAACAACCCCCCCCCCCCCCCTTTTACACCCAATTCCCTCACATGGCTGTTCTAAGTGTCTATGGAAGTGTTCATTCGTATGTGTATGTTTAAGCAGAAATGTGAATGTATGAATGAATGTGAGTGTATGTGTGACAGTGTGTAGATTGAGTGTGTGTGTGCATGTATGAATGTGAGTGAATGTGTGACAGTGTGTAGATTGAGTGTGTGTGTGTGTGCATGTATGAATGTGAGTGTATGTGTGACAGTGTGTAGATTGAGTGTGTGTGTGCATGTATGAATGTGGGTGAATGTGTGACAGTGTGTAGATTGAGTGTGTGTGTGCGTGTGTGTGTGTGCATGTATGAATGTGATTATATGAGTGTGTGTGTGTGTGTTATGTATGCAAGAATGTCTGGTAAGTATGCATGCAGGTGTGTGTGTGTATGTATCCTGTGTATGTATATATACAATACTAAATGTGTATGAGTTTTTTGAAATGTATAAACACATCTGTTGCATACATGATTTATGGATTTTTAAAAAAAGCAATTGCTGTGTTAAAGATGAGTGGGTGCAGAATATAAGACAGGCCTGTATGTCCAACTCGTCAACCTTTTGAAAAAAATAGGTTTTCTGATTCACTGATCCTCCGTCATGAAAGACATCAAACATAACTACTCTGAACAAATTAATGATGTTTTAGGTAAAAATAAAATAGCTTGGTTGGGGAGGGTTGGAGGGGGGAATGATCTTTCAGCAAACATTGACTTCATCAGGCTATGTAACATATAAAACACTAGAAATATGTGTATTACCCAGAAAACTCAGAAACAGCCAGGTTTTCCCATCAGAAACTAAATATATAGTAATGTTTAACCATCTGCTCCTAATATGTTCCTTGTTAGTTCAACTTGGACCAATATGAATGTAAATGCCAGAAATGATTTACGGAACTAACAAAAACAGTTGCAAGTAATTTAGGATGAATCACAAACAGTAAAGTGTAAAATATTAGAAAATGTAAAGTATTAAAAAAAAAAAGTAAAGGACCCTTAAGGCAACATCAGATTACTTTACACAAGTTCACCGCAATCTTTAGAATATAAATGGTATGTAACATGTTTACAACATGCCTAAATGGCAAGTGACATGTTTACAACATGCCTAAATGGCATGTGACATTTTTACAACATGCCTAAATGGCACGTGACATTTTTACAACATGCCTAAATGACACATTACATGTTTACAACATGCCTAAATAGCACGTAACATGTTTACAACATGCCTAAATGGCAGGTGACATTTTTACAACATGCCAAGACACTTCTGGCATGCCCCTATCACTTAGAAGCTAGTGAATACATTTAACAATTTCATGATCCTAATGATATTGAAAATTATGTGTTTCCCTTAAAAAAAAAATTGCCTATAGAAAACAATGTGCTTCCTTTAATTTCGTTTCAGAATGCAAGGCATGCACCAAAACAGAGTTCAGAGTTCGGGTTATGAATTTAAAAGTATATAAGCCACCCTCCCCCATTCTCTGCTAAAAAAATCAAAATGCTTTGTGCAAGTTAAATAATACTTTTTAATTTAAAAATTATTCTTTTTCAGTTAAAATGTATATAGTTTTATAGAGTAAAAATATACACTTTCATTGTTGCTTCTCACTCTCCATTCACCGCTGTTTGCATCTTTGATGGCTCCAAAGATTCGTCTAAGACTCTGTTTTTGAAAACCTGTAATAAGGCTTCATCTCTTTTAGTTGTGCTTCAAGTTTCAGAGTCATATAACACGACTGGTCTTATCAACGTTTTATATATTTTGATCTTGGTGTTGCAAGACAGACACTTTGACTTTAGGAGATGTTGAAGGGCATAGTATACTTTATTTCTAGATTGTATTTCTTCTCTCAGCATGTTGGAGCAGTTGAAGTTTTCCCCAAGTACTTTTATGTTTCCATTTGATTGATTTTCATATTATTGACTTGTATGTGGCCGGAGTTTATATCCTTTCCCTGTCTAGTTATTATCATGCATTCTGTCTTATCTTGATTGATAACTAGTCCCATTTTCTGAGCTGATTTTTTTAAAACTTTTAGTGTTTTAACAGTCTCTAGTTCATTTCTCCAACGATATTAATGTCAAAGCAATGTTTCCCCGTTGTAAATTTGAACAAAGAAGATTCTAACAATAGATTGCACAATTTATTGCCTGGCATATTTCGCTGTATCTCGTCAGGTGCATACTACAGTAACAATTACATAAATGAAGCAAATAAGTGAATCCTTTATAAGTAAAGTACAATTTCAACAATGATCAAACATGACTGCCTGTTTTTATCAGGGCAGCCATAAAGACAGAACTATCTCTTTCTGTATACAGAGTTCCGGGCGCAGGTGATGAATCGCGCAAGCTTCGAGAAATCTTAGCGTTCTGCCATTGGTTGACGTATGAATGATTTGAAATGATTTGTCTTTAGTCACCACTTGTCCAGATTTTAGAAGATGGTGTGCTATTGCAGAGGGGTGATTTTTGCGGCCAGTATTCTCATTTTGAAAATTATTTTGCATGGCTTTTTCTACTCATACTAGAATGTGCCCAGTGACTCGTTTCTCCAGATGTTGATCCATTCTGCCCACATAAGCAGCTTCACAGCTACATTTATACTGGTAGATACAATTTGATTTGGCGTACGTCGACACTGGTTGTTTCACTGAGGGCATTGGCACGGGGGTAGTTTTAAACCTGATAATAAGCAAAGCGGCATAAAAAGTTTGGTTGACTCCTGTTTTGAGCCTGTCGTACAGCTGTTTTTTACAAGCATCTTCCATACATAGTTTTGTCATGTTAATTAACTTTTTTTGGTATTCCGAATTCCTTCATAGCATTCCATAAACTGTTTCTATGCAGACTATCATACGCATTTTTTAAATCGACAAAAAACATTATGTACATCTTTTCTTCTCAGAATATCTTGGTCAAGGAAAAGGAGAAATACTGACATCTTGAAAGATCTGAACATCAAGGAAGATTGGCTAATAAACAGTCTCCTGTCTCGGAAGCTTAAATATTTTGGTCATATCAAGCGCCATGACGGATTGGAAAAAATTATAGCAGAAGGCATCGTACCAGGAAGGAGGAGCAGGGGCAGACCGACAAGAAGATGGACACATGATATAAGTGACTCCTTGGGATGAAAGTACATGAGGCGGGAGAACTGGCGAGGGACCGAGTTTCTTTCAGGCAGACTGTGATGACAGCGACATTCTGCAAAGAACCTGCTACATGATGATGATATCTTTTCTATAATCCTAATTTTGCTCTGCTATTTGCCCTAAAATGAATATCTGATCTATTGTTGATCTGTTCTGTCAAAAGACCGCTTGGGAATCTTCCCAATATGTCTTTGGCATATGGTTTTAACCTGTTTAGCAGTACAGCTGATAGTATCTTTTAGCTTGTAGATAATAGTGATATTCCTCTATAATTTTCAAACCTATACTTGTTTCCTTTCTTAAAATGGGTATTTATAAAGACACTTTCCATTCATGAAGTTATTTCTCTGTCTTCCATATTAGTTTTATTCATTCATATATCTTTACTGCAATTCTAACAGCACCAGCTGCTTTATTATTTTTAAGCTGTGTTATGACATAATGTGCTCTTTCAAAATCAGGTGCTTCAATATTTGGTTCACATGTTAAAACCTCTTCTTGCGGATAAGTATTAAGTGGGGTTTTGCAGTTTAACAATTTAGGAAAGTATTCCTTCCATCTGTTACATATTTCCTCATTATTATTTATCATGTTCCCATTGTGATCTTTAAACTATAAATGCTTTGTTGATGTCCTTGTTTTATAGTCTTCAATTCTTTAATTAAACTGTCTGGATTCGTTGTTCTGATGGTTATCTTCCATATCCATGACAATGTTGTTCATGTATATTCGCTTTTGGTGCCTAACTACAAATGTAGCTTCTTTGCATTCTGTTCTATATTTTTCTTTATTTAGTATGTTACTAGTATCATTTAGCCAAATCAGCCTGGTATGTTTTGTTTTGTTTTTTACACATATTACATCGCTAAATATATTATATAGACGAAATACATAAATATTCCTGAATCCAAAACTATAGTTTGTTAAAACAAAAATTTACTCAATCAACAAGGACAATTATATCTTTAAAGTCATTTTCAGTTATTTGTGTCAGTCTAATATCTATGTCTGCTACTTTTCCTTCTCTGCACTCCAAACATATTTATAGGTGTTTAGTCTTCCTCTGCTTTCAGAAAAAGCGTGTATGTGTGGCCTCCTGCATGTGTCATCCATGTCTACATCCTATTATAGCGAGCTATCTGCTGGCGGCAGTTGGGACACGTGTGAACCACATCCTTGCACCCGTTGATGCAGAAGGGAAACAGGCAGCAGCCTATGCAGAAAGCAACAAAGTTTTTGAATCTCTTTATAGACCCACAGACAGTAACAAAGTTTCTGAATCTCTTTATAGACCTGCAGAAAGTAACAATGTTTTTGAATCTCTTTATAGACCTGCAGAAAGTAACAAAAACAAAAATTACTCACAAAAACAATATCTATCTTAGGTGAGGAATCTGAAAATGATCAAAAGTTTTGGTCCATTACTGTGAACCCTAATAATGAACTATTATACCACACACCTCGGAGTTGTGAGTGCTGACTGGTCTATACAAGTGGGGTCTGGCCATGTGCCCCACACACATGAGTGGGGCAGAAAGATCAGGTACAACAGAGCTGCCATGAGTGGTGCAGAAAGATAAAGTACAACAGAGCAGACATGAGTGGTGCAGAAAGATCAGGTAGAACAGAGCAGACATGAGTGGGGCAGAAAGATCAGGTACAACAGAGCAGACATGAGTGGTGCAGAAAGATCAAGTACAACAGAGCAGACATGAGTGGTGAAGAAAGATCAAGCACAACAGAGCAGACATGAGTGGTGCAGAAAGATCAGGTACAACTGAGCAGACATGAGTGGTGCAGAAGGATCAGGTAGAACAGAGCAGACATGAGTAGTGCAGATAGATCAGGTACAACAGAGCAGACATGAGTGGTGCAGAAAGATCAGGTACAACAGAGCAGACATGAGTGGCACAAAAAGATCAAGTACAACAGAGCAGACATGAGTGGTGCAGAAAGATCAGGAACAACAGAGCAGACATGAGTGGTGCAGAAAGATCAGGTATAACAGAGCAGACATGAGTGGCACAGAAAGATCAGGTACAACAGAGCAGACATGAGTGGCACAGAAAGATCAGGTATAACAGAGCAGGCATGAGTGGCACAGAAAGATCAGGTACAACAGAGCAGACATGAGTGGTGCAGAAAGATAAAGTACAACAGAGCAGACATGAGTGGTGCAGAAAGATCAGGTAGAACAGAGCAGACATGAGTGGGGCAGAAAGATCAGGTACAACAGAGCAGACATGAGTGGTGCAGAAAGATCAAGTACAACAGAGCAGACATGAGTGGTGAAGAAAGATCAAGTACAACAGAGCAGACATGAGTGGTGAAGAAAGATCAAGCACAACAGAGCAGACATGAGTGGTGCAGAAAGATCAAGTACAACAGAGCAGACATGAGTGGTGCAGAAGGATCAGGTAGAACAGAGCAGACATGAGTAGTGCAGATAGATCAGGTACAACAGAGCAGACATGAGTGGTGCAGAAAGATCAGGTACAACAGAGCAGACATGAGTGGCACAAAAAGATCAAGTACAACAGAGCAGACATGAGTGGTGCAGAAAGATCAGGAACAACAGAGCAGACATGAGTGGTGCAGAAAGATCAGGTATAACAGAGCAGACATGAGTGGCACAGAAAGATCAGGTACAACAGAGCAGACATGAGTGGCACAGAAAGATCAGGTATAACAGAGCAGGCATGAGTGGCACAGAAAGATCAGGTACAACAGAGCAGACATGAGTGGTGCAGAAAGATAAAGTACAACAGAGCAGACATGAGTGGTGCAGAAAGATCAGGTAGAACAGAGCAGACATGAGTGGGGCAGAAAGATCAGGTACAACAGAGCAGACATGAGTGGTGCAGAAAGATCAAGTACAACAGAGCAGACATGAGTGGTGAAGAAAGATCAAGTACAACAGAGCAGACATGAGTGGTGAAGAAAGATCAAGCACAACAGAGCAGACATGAGTGGTGCAGAAAGATCAAGTACAACAGAGCAGACATGAGTGGTGCAGAAGGATCAGGTAGAACAGAGCAGACATGAGTAGTGCAGATAGATCAGGTACAACAGAGCAGACATGAGTGGTGCAGAAAGATCAGGTACAACAGAGCAGACATGAGTGGCACAAAAAGATCAAGTACAACAGAGCAGACATGAGTGGTGCAGAAAGATCAGGAACAACAGAGCAGACATGAGTGGTGCAGAAAGATCAGGTATAACAGAGCAGACATGAGTGGCACAGAAAGATCAGGTACAACAGAGCAGACATGAGTGGCACAGAAAGATCAGGTATAACAGAGCAGGCATGAGTGGCACAGAAAGATCAGGTACAACAGAGCAGACATGAGTGGCACAGAAAGATCAGGTACAACAGAGCAGACATGAGTGGCACAGAAAGATCAGGTACAACAGAGCAGACATGAGTGGTGCAGAAAGATCAGGTACAACAGAGCAGACATGAGTGGCACAGAAAGATCAGGTACAACAGAGCAGACATGAGTGGTACAGAAAGATCAGGTACAACAGAGCAGACATGAGTGGTGCAGAAAGATCAGGTACAACAGTGGAGACATGAGTGGTGCAGAAAGATCAGGTACAACAGTGGAGACATGAGTGGTGCAGAAAGCTCAGGTACAACAGAGCAGACCCCCCCCCCCCCCCCACATCCACCAGGTGTAAAGATGCCAAACCTACCTTGTTGCTTTTGCAATTTGTTTAGCTTGAAAAGGGGTAGGAAATCTGCAACACATTCCCTATGAAGATATTTTTGTGATGGATCAGAAAGAAAGAGACTACACCAGCCTGACTCAGATCAGTGACAACTCTCCCCAGTTATCAGCTGTTCATGTGAGTGTTCATGTACTGAACTTGAGAATGAACATTTACTTATCCAGTAGATTCAAACACAGCAACAACAGCACCTGATGAAGCTGTGCCACGCACAGTAATCCTGTTCCTTGTATAGTGTGTCACTGGACGTGTTAGATCAATCTAATGATAACATAGTTCCTCCTTGGTGAAACCCACTTCAAGGGGTGTAATCATACATCTATTTAGGCAGCCTTGTTCACACAGCTGGCTGCATAGGTAGAAGTTTTAAAACTGTAATACAGTAGGCAAGAAGAGGTTTCATAACCTAGTACTCTTTTTTCTTCTTCATGTTCACCGGCTGTAAACCCTGATGGAAAGTTCTGGTTGTTCATTCACCTCTGGACTTGAGTTTTGTACATAGATCCCTTTTACAGATCTTTCTTATTTGTATGCAGACTGTTGGTTCCTTGCCACTCAGGCAGATGCAGTCCAACTTCAAAGGAAACTGCTGATTAGTTTACTCTCACAACATTCTTGTTAGGGAGGCAATGGGTGGTCTACTCTGGTCATTTTCCTACAATAAGGCCCCAGAACCAATGCAGGGAAAACCTAGTAGCAAACTTAGAATGGATAACTTCCTGTCAAACCACTGCTGCTGTATGTAGTGGAACAATGTATGATAATTGCTTCAATATAATCCTTACAAGCATTCATTAACTGGTGCCAGAATAAAAGAAATTAAATTCTAAGATAGAATCACTAATGCAAATCAGAGATAAAGAGAGAGAGAGAGAGAGAGAGAGAGAGGAGAGAGAGAAAGAGAGAGAGTAGCAAATTTAAAGTGAGGGGTGGGAGCGCACGCAAAGGACACTGGAGATAGGACATTGGAGAAAGGACACTGGATATAGGACACTGGAGAAAGGACACTGGCGATAAGACACATGCTGAAAATACTGCCAAATGTAAAATCTGAATATCCTTAGACTGGAACTCACAAAAGTGATAAATCAAAGTGCCAGTTGACTTACATCGGTTGAATGGAGAGACAGCTTGGAAATAGAGTGGCAGAGCACATACCCAAATGGCTACAAACACAGCTCAGTGATTCTTCTAGGGTGTCGAGACCAGTCAAGAGGAAAGAACCCCCTTCTTCCATAGGACATCATCTACTTAATTCAGGACACATAATTGACACAGACACTGCTTTCCTTGTGGTTTACCACACTCCAAACAGGAGACTTTTGAGAATAGCTGAAGCCTTAACAATAAAAATCAACAACCCTCTCCTTTGTTAGCAGACAGAATTTATAGTAAATTTTAAGTTACCCTGGTAAGTCACGTGACTACAGTGAGCTTCTGGCAGCCTTGAAACAGAGACAATGTATCGAAAAAACTATTCGCATTTCAGTTGAATTTATTCACTTTTGTGCTTTATTTAATGTTGATGTAACTCTGTAGTAACGCACCTGATGAGATACAGCGAAATATGCCTGGCAATAAATTGTGCAATGTATTGTTTGTATCCGCAGTATTGAAATAAATCAAAATGTCAAAACACACAGAGATGGCAAATTAGAAGTTGTGATTAATAATAATAGACGCAGGACATGGAGGGGACCGTAGAAAATATCAAAAGAGACTGACTGGTGTGAGAAGTTGGTTGAGAGCAACAATGCAAGGCAGACTGAGGGCAGAAGATAAAATGAAGGAAGGAGAAATGTTGAATGATTACTCACCCAAAAAAGCAAATAATAACACAGGCAAGCCATGTGAAGGTGCCTGTCTCATAGTGGGTGGCAGTGACCACGTCTGCTTGACAGTGTGGACACATGGTGCGCACTGGTGACTCTCTGTAAACCTGAATAACAGCAATCGTTGGTTGTGTGACGATAGTTGTGGTGTTGTTATAGGAAGCTGACTGTACACCGTATCCTTGCCCGTAGCCGGGCTGCACTGGGTAAGCATAACCTGAAACAGGAGGCAAGCAACATTAATTTTTAGTGATAAAGGGCATGGTACTCTCATAGCAAACACTAGTAAGTAAAAAGTAAAGTTCCCTTTTCACGCCTTTTTGGCGCATCGGGCATATGGGCAGAGCGTCCCATATTTTTACAGACCATCAGCACTCTGTGGGTAATGTGGTCAGCATTACGCCGACTGTCTTTACTTTCCCAGGACAGCCAATCCTGGTACCCATTTTAGGCTGGGTCGACCTGCGACGTCCCATACCACGAGAAAAATCCACGCAGCCTGCAGTGGCTTTTGATCGCGGTATGCTGGCTTACGAGTCGGACTCGCAACGCCTTAGCCACGGACGCCGCAGCAAATGGGACATAAAAAGGCAAATGCAAATTCAAAGCCATTAATGTTTTCATGGACAGTTTTATTTCATGGACAGTTTCATTCCAGTGACAATTTCATTTCATGAACAGTTTCTTTCCATGGACAATTTCATTTCATAAACAGTTTCTTTTCATGGACAATTTCATTTCATGAACAGTTTCTTTCCATGGACAATTTCATTTCATGAACAGTTTCCTTTCATGGACAATTTCATTTCATGAACAGTTTTTTTTCACTGACCGTTCTTTCACTTAGATTTCCTTAGAGTCTGTGACTAAACTTAAGATATAAAATGCCTAAGCATAAACAAGAGATTCAATGGTATGCATGAAAACTGTCCAGTCGTACATGATGCCCTGCTTGGGACTGAAAGAGTTAAAGTCAACTTCAAAGCTTAAATATGGTCATACATTACAGTAACACAACATTACAGATACATTTCTAGAAGTAAAATTACCAGAATTACTTAGTATTTTACAAAGCAAATTATTAGAAAACGTCTTCTTATCATAACTAGATGTGTGGCATTGAAAGTCATGTCTATTTACACCACCTTCTGTCTCATGTACTTTATGTCTATGTCCACAACTTTTTGTCTCATGTACTTTATGTCTATTTCCACAACTTTTTGTCTCATGTACTTTATGTCTATGTCCACAACTTTTGTCTCATGTACTTTATGTCTATGTACACAACTTTTTGTCTCATGTACTTTATGTCTATGTACACAACTTTTTGTCTCATGTACTTTATGTCTATGTCCACAACTTATTGTCTCATGTACTTTATGTCCATGTCCACAACTTTCTGTCTCATGTACTTCAGGCCTATATCCACAACCTTTTGTCTTGTATACTTCTTGTCTGTATCAACAATGGAGCAGGGGAGCTGCGTGGTATCGATGTATGGTGTCCGCTTCATGTGCTAGAGGTCCCAGGTTCAGGCCCGGTGAGGGCAGGGATTTTTTCATGTGGACTTCTAGTTATTTTCCCTGATTTCTGGGTAGTGAGATCAGATGCCGGTGTGTATTTTTGCTCACTTTAAAAATTCCTTGGCAGTTGAAAATCGAAAAGAGTTGCCTAATTGCAATGCCTGGGCAAATTTTGAATTAAAAGTCTACCCAAAATATTTAAGGATTCTTGCCGTTGTGCTGAGCTTCTTCAGACTCAGACTTGAGTTAGAAGTAGAACGGAGCACTTATGGGTTACTAACTGTGGGCATGTACTTCATGTCTATGGCCACAACTTTCTGTCTCATGTTTTTTATGTCTGTATCCAAAACCATCTCTCTCCTGTACTTCATGTCTATATCCACAACCTTCTGTCTAGTGTACTTCCTGTCTATATCCACAACCTTCTGTCTAGTGTACTTCATGTCTATATCCATAACCTTCTGTCTTGTGTACTTCATGTCTATATCCACAACCTTCTGTCTAGTGTACTTCATGTCTATATCCACAACCTTCTGTCTAGTGTACTTCATGTCTATATCCACAGCCTTCTGTCTTCTGTACTTCATGTCTATATCCATAACCTTCTGTCTTGTGTACTTCATGTCTATATCCATAACCTTCTGTCTAGTGTACTTAATGTCTATATCCACAACCTTCTGTCTAGTGTACTTCATGTCTATATCCACAACCTTCTGTCTAGTGTACTTCATGTCTATATCCACAACCTTCTGTCTAGTGTACTTCATGTCTATATCCACAACCTTCTGTCTAGTGTACTTCATGTCTATATCCACAACTTTCTGTCTTGTGTACTTCATGTCTATATCCACAACCTTCTGTCTTGTGTACTTCATGTCTATATCTATAACCTTCTGTCTAGTGTACTTCATGTCTATATCCACAACCTTATGTCTAGTGTACTTAATGTCTATATCCACAACTTTCTGTCTAGTGTACATCATGTCTATATCCACAACCTTATGTCTTGTGTACTTAATGTCTATATCCACAACTTTCTGTCTAGTGTACATCATGTCTATATCCACAACCTTCTGTCTTGTGTACTTCATGTCTATATCCACAACCTTCTGTCTAGTGTACTTCATGTCTATATCCACAACCTTCTGTCTAGTATACTTCATGTCTATATCCACAACCTTCTGTCTAGTGTACTTCATGTCTATATCCACAACCTTCTGTCTAGTGTACTTCATGTCTATATCCACAACCTTCTGTCTAGTGTACTTCATGTCTATATCCATAACCTTCTGTCTAGTGTACTTCATGTCTATATCCATAACCTTCTGTTTAGTGTACTTCATGTTTATATCCACAACCTTCTGTCTTCTGTACCTTATGTCTATATCCATAACCTTCTGTCTTGTGTACTTCATGTCTATATCCACAACCTTCTGTCTTGTGTACTTCATGTCTATATCCATAACCTTCTGTCTAGTGTACTTCATGTCTATATCCACAACCTTATGTCTTGTGTACTTAATGTCTATATCCACAACTTTCTGTCTAGTGTACATCATGTCTATATCCACAACCTTCTGTCTTGTGTACTTCATGTCTATATCCACAACCTTCTGTCTAGTGTACTTCATGTCTATATCCACAACCTTCTGTCTAGTGTACTTCATGTCTATATCCACAACCTTCTGTCTAGTGTACTTCATGTCTATATCCACAACCTTCTGTCTAGTGTACATCATGTCTATATCCACAACCTTCTGTCTCATTTACATCATGTCTATATCCATAACCTTCTGTCTAGTGTACATCATGTCTATATCCATAACCTTCTGTCTAGTGTACTTCATGTCTATATCCACAACCTTCTGTCTAGTGTACTTCATGTCTATATCCACAACCTTCTGTCTTGTGTACTTCATGTCTATATCCATAACCTTCTGTCTAGTGTACTTCATGTCTATATCCATAACCTTCTGTCTAGTGTACTTCATGTCTATATCCACAACCTTCTGTCTTGTGTACTTCATGTCTATATCCACAACCTTATGTCTAGTGTACTTCATGTCTATATCCATAACCTTCTGTCTAGTGTACTTAATGTCTAAATCCACAACTTTCTGTCTCATTTACATCATCTCTATATCCACAACCTTCTTTTATGTACTTCTTATCTATATCCTCAACCTTATGTGTCAAGTACATTCAATCATTTCTGTTGTGAAGAAAGATGGCTACTTTGCTACCACAGCAACATTACAACACCAAATCTCACAATACCTGTTGCAAAAGTCACCATATTGTTTTGTCTCTGTTAAAGAGCCCGATAAAGTGAAGTAGCGAAAGGACATGGTATGGAGGTTAGACCCAGGTCAGCACACCTTCTAAGATTGTATCGGAATGGTAAAGGGCCAAAACAATCGTCCACGGGGTATCTTTCTAACTGATGATTGGTGGACCCCTGCTGTACATGCTCCCCTGATGAGTTCTTTTTATTGACATAGATGATCTTCCATACAAGGAGGTTAAATTGTTCAGCATCTTCTCCCTCTGTCCCATATCCTTTCTAGTTTTCCCACCACACGTATGTGTTTCAGTTTTTTTCTTCTCATGATGTGACCAAAGAAAGTAGATTGTCTCTTTCTGATGTGGTTAATTAGTTTTCTTGTGTTTATTAATTTGTTTCAAGAAAACTTATTTGTGCTTATATGTTTAATAATCTCAAAGTTGTTTTGTTGTTGTTGTTATGATTTGGTGATGTTATCATGTCATTGGTACTGTTATTACTTCATATAAATTTACCTGAAGGCTGTCCAGCAGTGGTGGGCTGGGTAGGGTGTACCACATTTTGGGGTAGGAAGTGTGGACCAGTTGTTGGGTGGCCCGAGTATGGGGGTGGGTTTTCTACTGGGATCTCCTTTGACATTGCTGCAATGTATCTGTGAGTATATAAATACAAATTAAATGTGTAAGCACATACAACAAAACAAATCAGTGCTAGGATAATGATAGACAGTCAAGAATTATGTACCACCCCCCCCCCCTTCCTCCACCAACCCCCTCTCCTCCACCAACCCCCTTTTCTTTTCTTTTCTTTTTTAACCTCTATGTACATACATCTTTATTACAGACTTCTTCAATTTTGCTCTGCTCCGAATGTGGCAAATACTGATTGTCTCTTTCTGATATTTACATTAAGTTATCTTGACATATTCCAAAAATGTCAGTGACTTATGTTGTCTGTGTACAGATCGTTCAGTTTAAATTTAGCTGCATATAATGTACAGGACATGGCAACTTACCCCAGCATTTGTTGGCTGTTTGTGGGTTTAGAGTGCAATTTTATGTTCAGGTGTTTGCCGTTGCTTTTTGAATGATTGACACTTATTATTGTTAAAATCAGTGCACAGTTGTCTGCTGCCGCCAAATCGCCTCCAGCTGAATCTAACCGTATCAAAATAATAATACTGTGTTGAAAATCTCTATGACTCTACGACACAGATGGCACTGTAGACTGTTGCTAGACATATAAATTACTTATGGTGTTTCATTTATTTTCTGCAAAACAACATGCCTGTGGCTTTAAGGGATTTTATTTGCCCATTTATTGACTACCAGAGATTGATAGGTATAATCTGAAACCAAACATCAGGGAAGATTTTAAAACTGTAGTACCCCACTTAACATCTTTAAACCACACACATACAAGGGTAACACAGTGTTAATGTCACAATGATCTTCAAGGTAATAATGATCAAATCTACACATGGTACACATCACCAGAATCCCCCCACCTCACCGGGGTCAAGACTCATGCTGTGGGGGTTCTCATGGGCTGTCCTATGTTGTAGGTATGGCAGGATCTGCGTTCCTTCGCCTTTACCATTTATACACACCGTGTGGAAAAGCAGCTGCCATTCATTCAAGGCCCAGTAGGAAAGTGTGAAGCTCTCTGTCATGGCAGGTGACACTGACTGACTGTTTTGTGTGTGTTTTCTTTTCTCTGTCAACTAGGTCCCTTGTGCAACCATCCACTTCTGGACTCTAGTCCTGTTCCAGAAACTCAATGTTGTTCGCATATCCATTTTACAAGTATGACTCATTTACATGCAGACTGTTGGTTCCATGTCTCAGGCAGATGTACGTGGACTCTAGTCCTGTTCCAGAAACTCAGTGTTGTGCACATATCCATTTTACAGGTATGACTCATTTACATGCAGACTGTTGGTTCCTTGTCTCTTAGGCAGATGTACTTGGACTTCGAAGGAAGCTCCCAGTTAATTGACTCTTATGACATGCTTTTGTGCAGGCAGTGGATCTGTTCTTGTTTTATCACAATGGGGTCCCGGAATCTAATGGGGAATAACAATCATAAATGAGAAGGCTTGAAAATATTGCTGGTAAAGCAATAGAATGCAGTAGCAGCAACTTTTCTCAAGCATCATTTGTTTCAGTGCTGTTGTAATAGACACTTTATAATGGGTGCTGGCACCTTTTTCTAAACACTTTGTGGTGAGTAATTGTCCTGGCCAAATGGTTAGAGTGTTGGGCTGTCAAGTGGAAAACACTGCTTTAAATCCTCTGTAAGGTTGGGGATCTTTCTCTGTCAGGGACACAAATAAAATCTTAACCTGCAGTCTGTGGCAACAGCACTAGCCATGCAGGTTTAAATCCTGAGGCTAAAATACCCCCACTCTCCCTGAGGATAAATGGTAAACACGGGCAATACATGGTAGGTTTTTTGTTTGTTCAAGAACTTGATAGTTATTTAATTTTTACAACAGAAAATTTCTGGTCCGTGCAAGGAACCTACTTACTTGAGTTAACGAGGTCTAATAAAGTAAAATCAGCACACACCCTTGTCTGCACGGCGAGCCGGATGTGACTTGAATACTCTGTCTGGTAATGTAAACCACTAGACCTACTATGAATTGAATCGACCAAAGTGAAACCATTGAGTTGAAACACAGACAGTAGGTGTGGTGTCATGACATAATGTCTGTAAATACACTGTAATCTATCGTCACTTCCCCCTCGCTTATCGCAAACGTCGGCTACGATGATCCGGGATACGTGAATAAATCAAACATGTAACAACAAAAACATGTAACGACTGGTATTTCCAGGAGAAGTTAGTAGAGTCAAACTGTTCCATTGTTGACGTTACCTAGGTTACAGGTTTTGTTTGAGTTATCTACCCTTGTTTTTGGATTAGTCCACCCCTCCCCCCCCCCCCCCCCAACCCTCTTGGGTGTTATTAGACTATGCTATCTTATCACAATCGACGTCACTGGGTCTGATAATTTCCTGTGCCCGCTCAGGCCTCCTATGCAGCAGACATCCCAAGGTAACACTAGAAAAAGTCTTCTTTAGACTGCATAAACTTAAACGTACCTCACCAGAACCTTTACCCGCCCCCCCCCCTCCCCCCAACCAGGTCACACAACCATCATAGCCGGCACAAATAAAACTGGGCTGTTCAATGAAAGATTTTTGTTTTCGTTTTGTTGGTGCTAGAAACAACACAATCATGTGACTGAGGAAATATTGTCCCAAGCAGAACCATAAACGTTGGTCATTCGAAGGGTTCTCCAGTTGGGTATAAGGCAGCTCCGGCTTCCTGTAGCAACAGTCTGTGGGTGGAAACTCTGTGATCAACCTAGCGATGACCCATTTTTCTTATCGAAAGCTCGACACTTAGCCTAGAACTTAGCCTAGAAGATATACAACCGAACTTCAAGTATATCAACAAGCTTCACTATATAACATATGAACGTTGTGGCTATAGAGCCTTCATCGGCACACACATAAATCAAACAATACTACACTAATACACAGAATCACTTAGCTTAGTATCTCGAAGCAGCCAGGTCGATGTCTTGCCAGTAGATTGACGAGACACGTGGGACAGGAGAATAAATAACCTCGGCGAATGCCTAGACTTGAAACTAACGACTTCAATAATTACTTCACTGTTCCCAACCAGTTGTGATAATGGACTATATATTTTTTTTTTTTAACCTCTGTCGTTGAAATGTGTTATTATAACTAGGGCTGTACCGAATATTCGCTCCGTATTCGCTTCAGGGCCGAATAGTGGACCTAATAATTATTCGGTATTCGGCCGAATACTTGCGGTCGGGCCGAATACAAATATTGGTTACCTTACACCCGTTTCTGCATACACTTTGATGGACTAAAATAACTCTCTCATTAACACAATAGTTGCTGTTGCCTAAGTCTGTTGTAGCGGCCGAAACTGCGACCTGGTTGCGTGGTACAGCAGCTGGTAGGGTCGTTGTCTGCTGACTCGACCGAGGCATTACAGCAGAGGTTCTCAAACTGGGTGCGTATGCCAGAGGTGCCGCGGCGAAAGTCAAGAAAAGTCGGCTATAAATTGTGACATTATTAAAGAAGGCACGAATATACTTAAAAATTAAAATTTAAATTGTCTGTCCTCGTAACAATCGAAAAAGAGTTTTTTATTCCTTTTTTTTTTTCACACTCAAAGTGTATCAAAGTGTATCAAACTGCATAAAATGCCAACTGCAGTGTGTGTTTGTCAGTGTGTGTCAGAGAGAGAGAGAGAGAGAGAGAGAGAGAGAGAGAGAGTGAGAGAGAGAGAGAGAGAGATCATGCATTCTTCTTTTTTTCAGGGTGTCTTCGCCTAAATCAAATTAGAGGATATTGCTAACGAGAATGTGAAGGTGCGTTTAAATTACATCGAACGAACAACTGAGCGAACGATGGTTTTGAAAGAGGCGGGAGCCCGAAGACAACTAATCACAGACGTCAGAAGGAGACAGTCGTCGTTTTTCGGCCATGTTATGAGAAGAGGGAAAATGGAACATGTGGTGACCACTGGAAAGATATGTGGAAGGAGGGACGTGAGTCAGCACACGAACTGATACATACTGCAGGAGATCGCCGATTGTGGCAAGGCATAATCGCCCACGCCAGTCGGCAAGGCACCTGGTGATAATGATACCCTATTCGTATTCGGCCGAATAGTTGGTCCCACTATTCGTATTCGGTCGAATAGTGAAAATTACTATTCGATACAGCCCTAATTACAACCCAGCCTACCACTAGTAGCTAGCGTTCCTGCATGCCGCCCCTGTGCGTATAGGTTCCAGTCCTCATTATGGCGGATTTTAAAACTGACACAAGTTCTAATTTGACCCAAGAAAAATGTTAACATCAAGAACTGTTGTGTAAGGTTGCTGTGACAGCATGCTAGTTATCGAACCACCAGAGTGCTGGCTATGACTAGCACTGTAGATTCAATGTGCGGATTCATTATTCTTGTCGGAGAAAAGAATAATCATCACCATGAAATCAACTGACGATTGCATGACAGAAAACGTCATCGCAAACAAACAGTTGCAGAGTTGAGTTGGAACTGTGTCAAGAATTGACATCACAGCACTCGGAGAATTCTCATGCGTGTTCCGTCCTCATCTTCAGCAGCCAGCGCAATTCCAGTACTGATGGTACAGGTCACAATCTGGTTATATGTCTGTATTGCCTTTACTCAATTGAAGTGAGCCAGCCAGACCTTCAGGATACACACAGGTGCCTCATTCTCTCCAGGCCATAGTAATATTTTTTCCAAATATTGTTTCCAAAGGGCCTTGACCAAATCTGCCTTGTCATGTGTCAATTCACCACCCAGTGGTGCGGATCGAGCCAATCTGTCTGTCTGTTCATTACCCACTACGCCGGCATTGCCTGGAGAAAAGATCCAAAGTATGTTCATTACTCGTGACCTTTCCAGTGAAGCTTGCCACTCTGCTCGAAGCATCCCTGTCTTCACCTTTCACCGCCTTCACTTCCATTTTCATGCTAGATGTTGTGATGTCGTATGCTAGGCTGTCTTGAACTAAAGATTTTCCACTGATTTTCTCTACGAACCCCAAGGCACTT